AGGGATAAAGTCGTCTGAAATTGCTGGAGTGAGTGTTCTCTTTCTGGAGACACTGATGTGCTGTGTCTGCTCCCATTCCTTGGGTTTAGCCTTGGAAAGCATAAACAATTCCAATCTGAACCAGACCAGATCCTATTCCAAAGTAAATGTTTGTTTTCTTTAGGACTGGACGTGATCTACTCATCTCTTGGGTGCTGATGTTAAGTGACTGAAATTAGCCTGCTGAGAAACCGGTTTCTCCAGTGGTTGTCCAGCTGGTGCCGTTCAGGAGAGGCCACACAAATGACTTTAAGAACATTGCACTAGTAATCCCCCGTTCCCTTTTTAACTCTCATCTTCTATAATTCCTATTTAAGCAAGCCATCAGAACAAAAACACTATCAGCAGTTTGGGGTACAGAAGCACTTTCTAAAAAACTAATTGCTGCTGCTTCTGTAGACCTTACCAGCTCCACTGCTCTGCTGAAACTCGAAGAAACAAACTGGTTGCCACAAAATCAGCTATCAGTGAGCCGGGAGTTCCTCCCTGGTCTTTTTGTAGCTAAGCCTTCCCGTGTTTACCGTGGAAGTGTAGCGCGCTCTATGTACGTGTAACGTGCCTAGGAGTTATTGCAGGATGAGAGTTACCTCTCGTTTCTCCCTGTGAAATGCAGACACTGCGGATCCCGTGCTCGCTGTGGAAAGCAGTGCCCTTTGGGGGAGGCTAGAGCATTTCAACGTTTTGCTCAAGTTTTAAGCCATGTTACAAAGTTTGCACGAACTGCACACAGTTTCACATAACTGTGCTGTTTGGCAATAACTGTGGAATTCTTCTCAGTTTACGTGCTGATCTGATAATCAGAGAACTTAATAGCTGGACTCTATGAAGACCTTAGTGAATGTTCAAATGATCTGTGAAATTAGTCGTATGAAACAACTACTCTTTGTTTTCCGCAGCGGTAATGAGGATTAAAGGGACGTGGAGGTTGTCTGTGCCATAAAAGCTATCCTTTCTTTGTGAGTTGAGGTGTCTGTCTCTGGGACGTGAGCCATGATTTTTCTGGAGGCTGGTAGAGTGTTTTGGGGAGAGAGCATCATGTATTTGTGCAGTGGCTGATCTCTTCGCTGGGAGCGTGTTGTAGATGGCGGCTGGGTCTTTGATGGACCTTTCATCTCCCCCCGTGCGGCTGCTCAGCTGGTCAGGGGATGTAAGAACGGAGATTTGTCAGTGATGGGTCATGCACAAGGGCTGGGCTTTGATAACCAAGTTAATGTTTCCTTTTGTGGACAGGTTCCAGTGTTTTCCAACATTGGTGGTAGTAGCAGAATTAAAATGAAGCTGAAACCTTTTGAGAAATCACTTCTCCAGGATCTGTCATTTACTTCAGTGAAAAATCTGGCAGCTTTAGGTTTGCATTTATTTGCCACCAGCCTGCATGCCTACCTTTAGTAAATCTATAATCGCTGTAATTGTAATTCGTATACAAGAAATCAGTTTTTATTCCTGTAGCTGGGATTGGAACAACTGAGCAAAGTTGTACAATCATGTCAATGTTGAGTAATTTGCTCCTTCTACGTATATTGTTGTGTCTGTGTGGAGAAGTACGGTGTAAGCACTTTGTACAAGTAACGCATTTATTCACGGACTGAAAGTTGGGTAGATGGAGAGTGAGGTTTTCTAGCAGGGAGATAGCAGAAGCAGGAATCTCATCTCCTCTCTTACCCTGACTTGTAATAACCTGGACAATCCACTTCACCCATGCGGCCGCTGTTCTTTTTCTCAGTTGTAAAGCAAAATGAGTGGGTGATAAAGTGCCAGCATAGCGCTGAGTGTTACCCATTCTACTCCTGTGATTTGAGTCGTTGTCCCTACCGTATATCTAGCCATCGGAACTTGGTTCTTGTTATTTGCAAAGTTTCCTATTCCCTGCTCTGATCTTGCTAAAGCCTTTCACACCCGCTGGATTCCT